CTCCTCAGCCTCCCGAGTTGCAGCACATCCACCGCTCTCTGCCACGATGATTTCCACACAGAACCATCTGTCTTCCAAAGATCTCTGCAAGCACTGATCACTCCCTGCAGGCACCTATGTATTTAATTCCTGCTTGATGTACAGTGCAAACAAAAGGCTGATTTGGCCAGCAGTTTATTCCCGAGTTGTCCCTGGCAGGGAAGGTCACTTTACGTAGAGCAGATAAATTGTCTTACAAACAGCCTGCTGATCACTGGCTGCAAATCTGTGGCTACATGCATCAATTCCCAACCTTTCTCTGTCTTTACAGCTACGTATTACTCTTGCCACCACCACTGCCACCTAAATCTTTTCCTCAGACATAATTGCTGGGAGTTTTACCATGACCCTGCTTCCAAACAAAAATAAATGATGGATTACCTTTGAGGAGGGGAAGCTTCCTTGCCCGGTTTGGAGGTGTGCAGCACCTTGTGCGTACCTTGTACCAGCAGCACCATTAAAGCAACGGCAGGAGAGAGCAGCTGAACAGCTTGGAGCATGGGTTTCTGGCCCTGAGGCTGAGCAGTTGTCCTGGAACTGGATGTGGGTCCAAGCTGCAAGGGAGCAAGAGGGAGGACAGAAAGGAGCTACTCCCCATTTTCTCCAGGTTCTAACGAGCATTTGTATTTTTGTCTTCTACAAGCAGATGTGAAACCCAGTCCTTCTCCCTCAAATGGAAAACTTGGCTCTCTCAAGAAGCAAAACAACATTTTCTCAACAGCCATTTTTATTGCTTTTGACAATACATCATTGGAGGGAAAAAGAAATCATTTTCTCCTATTCTTTAGCTTCTTTATTAGAAGCACTAGTAAATTCCCTGGGACTATTAATAAAAGGTAAACGGTTAACTTTGCATCCAAGCTGACAATGAAAGAGTTGGAAATGCCCCAAAGCAGGCTACTCATACAAGAATAGCACCACGAAACTGCCCAAGTAACCTCTCTATGGAGTAATTAACAAACACTGGCAGAAAGAACAAGTCCTTGCAACCCCTGCTAACAAGACAAAGTCTGTGTCTCAAAATGACATAGCAGAGGCTCAGGCTTGAAAGTGTCAGCAACCTTCAGTTCAAGCCAGCAATGATCAACAAAAGTGTTTCCACTCACTCCAACGAGCTTTGGCTGAGGTCTCTCACACGCATGCACGCACACACACAGATCTTTCAACACAGCCAAAACCAGAATCCTGAATGCCTTCAACTCCCAGCTCCTGCCACAGTCCAGCCTTCATCTACAAAATAAATATACACAGGTTTAACAATGAAGAACATTTATTTTCCTTCATGTGATGCATTCTGTAAAGTACCATGTTGCTAAATTATACCGAGTTAAAATGATATACTGCCCTAGTATTTTAATTATAATAAATATAGAATGAGCTATGTGCAACTTCACTTGCAAGTTTTCTTTTTTTTTTAGCAGATATACTAAATTTAGTAACCAAAATATCCTCCAATAATACTCCATGAAAAACTAGTAAGAAGTTATAAATAAAAATAACATCCTTCAAAGACATCCTACGCACTTCTTCTGTCCACATTGCCTGGATAAACGTAGCGTTCCTGCGAGCATATGGAGCAAAGACAAATAAGGAAGCTGAGAATTACCTAACAATAAAAAGCAAAACCATCCAAGTCAATGCTACATACCCTGCCATAAACAGTCTGTTTCTCTACGTTTAATCTTGGTGCACACAACTCAGTTCTTTTAGTTGTTTTTTCTTTCCCTTCCATTAAAAAACCCTTGCAGGAAGAACATCTTGCAAGATATGGGTCGATTCATCTTAATCTAGCTCCTTTTTAATGCAAAGCGGGAAAGATTCTTGAACAAACTGCCTGCACATCGGACACTGCTGGAAATACTTAACGCAGCCATCGCACAAGCACACGTGCCTGCAGGGCAGCAGCACCCAGTTCACCGCGCCGTTTTGGCAAACAACACAGTCTTTACTGGTTTCTTCGTGCAATTCTGGTTCCTCTTCAGCCAGCCCAGCCTTTTCTAGCAAGCTTCTGTCAGTGCTTCTGTCACCGGGGGACGTAATGCTTGAAGACGGTGCGGTGCTATTTGCGGACATGAAGAGTTGCTAAAATACACATGTACATAAATATTTAGAAGTCAACAAGCTCTTCCCCCAATACCTGAACACACACATGCGACACCAGCGCCACTGGGTCAGATTCACTGGCTTCCACTGGGTCAAACAGCACCAGACTCACTGTGTGAGTGCTGACAGTTGCCTGCCCTTCAGTTAAATGTATTTCAGAAGCATAAAACTACATAGAATGCTGCTAAATATTAAGGATAAGTCATCAAATCTTAGCTGAATCAAACCAATGCACACGCGTGAACTTTAAGAAAACTGCCCAGGTTTTGAACAGCTCAGGTTTCTGCTTCTGATACCTCATGCTCCCTGCCTAGAGAGATGTCTCTCTCCATTCCTACCAAAACTAGATCCACCAAGAAGTTAAATCTACTTCACTCAACCCATTCTGCTCTCGCTCATATTACAACCCCCTACTCTTTTTTGTCTTATTTTACGTGAAGTGCAAGTTCTTCTGGGCATGATCTCTTAATAAAGCCAGTGAACTGCCATGCAGCCAAAGATGCTCACAGAGAGCACGCTACACAACTACACCACGTCGTTCCACAATTACTTCTGTGAGGTTTAAGTGGTGTTTTTATGTTTTTATGGTAACCATACACGAAGAGAAAGCTTAAGGGGAACAGAGAAGTTTACCTACATCAACTGTCAGCAAAAAACCGATCAGGACAAACATTTCTTTGGACAAATTTATTTCTGAATGAATGTTAAGTGAGCCAATTGAATTAATCTGGCCTAACTTCTAGCTTATGAAGATCATATGTTATTTTATTACCGCAGTAATATAAACGTGAAGGCACAGAATCACATCATCACCTGCCTGACACACACAGGACAGCGAAGGTCCCACGACACGCACAGATAAGGGAAACTGGAATGGGATAATGAGAACATTGGTTTAACTTGTCACAGTATGTGCTAGGCAGATTGCTAAGCTTTGTGTACGTATGGCAGTAAAAACCAATTGTTTTTTAAAATGTTTCTTCTGAGGCTTTCCCAAAGAAAAGGCAGTATAGGAGAAAGTGGTTTGAGAGACTGGTGAGGAGGTAACAAATATTCTGTAGAGAGAAAGCATTCGACAGCCAGGTAACTTCTTACTACTGCTTTAATAAGCAGAAATAAGGCCTCCTAGCCTTGGATCAAGTAATTTCTCCAGGAAATCTTGAATATTTTAATATAAAATATTTCTCTACAGTAACTTTGGCTGGAACTACTTATTTTAGCTATTACCCAGTTCTTTGCATGACGGTAAAAGTCTTCTACTAATTTAGGCTCCTGAAAGCCTACACAAACTAAACACTATCAGCCAAATGAAACAAGACTCAGTGCGTGGCTTACCTTCAGATCATGGTATTGACCTTGAGCTAGCAGTAGGTACTGATACAACATTCTGCAGGAAAGTCTGTAGCTCTCATCAGGAATGTGAATTACAGCCACCATTGAAATCTACAAAAAAAAAAAAAAGCTGGGTTTAATAACTTTACTTTTAATTTTATGATTTTTATGGAATAGCTTGCCTGAAAGAGGGCAATTCTTTGTTACAACTCCTGACCTGCTATTTCCTTACACAATTTGGACTGAACAGTGTTGACATCAAGCACGAACCCCAAAAAATACACTGGACAAGGCCATAGCACAAGATAGCACTTTGTGGTCCTTCAGCTTTCTGCCCCGGTTCTCCAGGGACCACAGTTTTGAGACTCTAAAAAGCATTCAGAAGTGTGGTTGATTGGCTGGTAAACCAGGTAGGCAAAAGAAATTTCACTGGAAGGGATTATGAAAGGACCCCACGGGCTGACTTTAGAGTCACTTTTCTGAAAAGAGAAGCACTCTAAGCTTGCACGCTGTGCCTAATGCCCCTCAGTCTGCCCAAATTAGGTAATAGCCTCTAAAAAGGAGGAAAAAGAGAAAGTGAAATTCAATATTATTGTAGTTCCCAGAAGCTGTCAGGAGAGAAATGAAATACAGAAGAAACCTGTTCTGTTAAAACAAAGAATTTAAATGAAAATCAGACTTGCACTTCAAAATCCAGTACATGGGTCATTACATGCAGAGTTTAAATATATATGCGTACCTATCCAGACGTATTTCAACTCAGTGAATTTACTGCTCTTTGGCAATAAAGTGTTTTATTCTAAATCACAATGCCTCGGAAAAAACCCCCAGACCACTGTTAGCTGTCTTTAGGAACCCAAAAGTCATTAACTCTGCATTAAAATGACAGATTTTGTGTTCTATAATAAGAGTTTAAAAGGTAACCGTTGTCAGTGTATTTGTATTATGTCATCCCACTGTAAGTGCTTTCTCAGTGATCACACATGTCCTCGATTCATAGTTTGTTCAGACACAGAGGCAACTTTCCAATTGTGTGGGACCAGTTCCTAACACAAGCATCTCTGTCTTCAAGCTATTTTCTCCTCTGTCATGCTGTCCTGTAGTGTAAAAATACACATGGAAACACAGTTTGCTGTGACCTAGCAGAAGTGCTATGCTGTTTGATTCCAGAACCCCTTCCCCATGAACACCAGGTATTTTCTCTCTTTGTAAATACTTGTACGCCATAATCAAGTCACTACTCAATCTTCTGTTTCATACACAGGCTGAGATCTAAGTTGTCTTTGACTTCAGCCCTGCCAGTCTTCAAATAATTTCTGTAACTCTCATATGTGGTCATGCTGATTTTCTGGAGCTAGAGGAAAAGTACAGCACAAAACCAAATAGGTGTGAACCAGCCACAAATACAGTTAGGAGGAAAATTAGACCCCCCAGAAAAGAGATGCTGGAACACCACCTGTAGTGATGGATGCACACATACACAAAAAATAATTATTCAAAAAGAATTTGAGATGGAGCTTGCCACACTGATGTGAGAATAACGTGGTAATACCACATTGGCCATAGTGGCAAAGATCCCTTTCCACATTGTATTTATAGTTTACAAGTTTTTTCGACAACAATAGATGCAATTCTGACACTTGTCTGGCAAGGAGTTCAGGTGGAGTGAGCCTTTCGACCATAGTAACAGATTCTACTTATGTTGCTTTTCTCCAAAACCAGAAGAGAAATACATCCCCCACTCTCCTTCCATCCCTTTCTTCTGTGTCAAGGAAAAAAACAACAGGCATTCCAAATTCATGCCCACGCTAATATCAAACACATTCAAATATGAAATCTACAGTCTTTAAAAATGAAACTAATCTGAGCTCTAAACATACATAGATGTATGAATCTGGGAAATAGCTGGGAGGGGAAAAAAAGATCTCCAGTTGGGACAGGAAGGAGGAAGGCAGTCCTAAGGGTAAGTGACAAGAAGCCAAGGACAAGCACCATGTGGTAAAGGGAACAGATTTCTTAGGCACCGGTGTGATCACAAACGATTTCCAAATGAATGTACGGAAAAGCGTTCAGTGGATTTAGGCAAGTTGCTTCTGAGTTCATTTGTTCAAGCAGTCAGTGCTATCGGATTAACAACCAAATTAAAAGATGGGAGATAAAAGCGTGTCCCAAAGCATGTTTAGAAGGGATACTGAACTGCATGTGACAAAGCCAAAGTCTTTTGACCAGAAAAATCAAGCTTACTAACCTACCACAACCCTAGTTCTTCTGACCACAGGGCTTACCAGAGAGACCTCCTCCTGTGGAAACCATAAGCACCTTTTGAATGGCATAGATAGTTTTTATATAACAACCACCCTTGCTCCTCCGCTGTGCTCCCCTGGAGTCATTGCTGACAAAGTTAGGGACCAGGAAGCTGTTTTAGTCTATATCCTGAAATGTTCAGTTCTTAAACACAGAGACCCTGAAGCATACGTTCCTATACTTACAATATCATATATTTCTCTGTCCTCTTCATCAGCTAACGTCAGCAACGCTACCAATGGGTAGCGAGATCTAGGCACTAGGCCAAAATTGACAACTTGAGCATCTTCTGGTAACTGACAATATTTTTCTTCCTTGTCATTTTTTTTGATGCTTTGTGTGTCAAGGAAAACAATCAGCGTCCCTGTGATTGTAGACAAATGTGACGTTTGCATAGAGAATACCTTTCATCATATTTTTTTTCATAAATACATGGTGCCAAGAACTGCCGAACGTTCACAACTCTCAACACACTCTGTGCCAATGAATTAGCATATTTTGTCAAAACAACTCAAAAAAAGGATACAAGTACTGTTGTCGATAGAGGTATTCGCTGTACAGAGCGTCCTCCAATGCCTGAGGAGTCCTTATTCGGAAGCAGTAGACGTGTTTCTGCAATGCTTCGTGGAGTTTTTGCACACTGCAGCCCCAGTAGCACGTGAGAACACAGTCTTCCAAGCAGTCTGGTGCCAGTATTATACCCTCTTGTAGAAAGAGGATAAGGATTTCGTTAACTTACCTGTGTGCAGGAATTCTGGAATTGCGAAGTGTAGGTTTTTAAAGGGCAATAAGCAGAAAACAACTTCAGTGTCCCAGATTTTTATCATTATTATCTAATCTTCTAGGAGTTTAGACTAGGCTTAGTGCTTATGGGAGTCAATGGAGATGAGGAAGTGGGTGTGAGGAGATCAAATGGCTGCTTTAGCTGACAAAAGTAGCATGTGCGTGTTATGAAGGGTAAATTTTAACTTCTGGTAACATTTTACAAACTCACAGGCAGACCCAAGAGCATAACCCCTAGTCCAAAGTCCACTCCTTCCTTAGATAACAGCATCAACTGGATCACTGGCCTGCAACACCGTCTGCGGTCTCAAAGAATAAGGCCCTCCTGATCATGCAGAGGGAGGAAAAAAAGAGGAGCTACGTGCTCCATTTCTTTTCTAAACCCAACCCATTCACTTCTAAACACCTACGGCACAAACAGGAGCAGAACTCCTGAAAAGCCCCACCAAATTCAAGCGCTCAAACTGCCTCAAAAATCCAAGTTACACAAAGACTAAGTTGTTGCATTTGGGGGTTTTTGGGTTTTGGTTTTTTTAATGTTGCTGCAGCCCTTTCCTCATTCACAGGGAGGCTCCACATCTGTGCTGGCAGCAGATGCTCAGCCTTGCTCACTACTCCCCAGTGATGCAGAAGGGTATGAATATCACTTTCTACGTGGGTGATATCAAGGATGTTGGAAACTACTTGAACTCTGATCTAAACAGATATTTAAGTTCAGTTTCCACTGAAGCACAGATAAATAAAAAATCTCCCTCTATTAAAAGCAGTGCACTTCCAAACACCGCTGGAAATCTGCACTTAAATATTTAAGTGGGACTTAGATTTAAGTAGAATCCCATAGAAAAACATCCACAGTAGCTGCTAATCCGCAAATGTTTTTGTTACTTAAACTGCTGTAACAGGAAGTATTTCATTAATAAGAATTAAACTGTACCCACATTTAACTTTTACAACCTTAACATCCACGCATTTAACTTTTTAAAGCACTGCATTTTTAAGCTATGTAAAAATTACTTGTATTGTAACGATGGAGGGAAGCATGTTTCTGAGAAATTTTGATAAAGGAAAAGGGTGAGAGCAAGAAAACAAAGCACTGAGTTCAGGAACTCAAACTGACAAGAATCAAGCGCACAAGAAATGTACAGACCTGTTACCGAAGCTGTAGCAGGCTGAGGGATTTCTAACCCAAAAGGGTTCTTCACTTGTCTCATCCGCCTTTTCAATACTCTTGTGCTGGATTCTGTTTCTTCTGAGTTTCTCAGAATAACAGGAACACCCAAACCAAACCTATGAGACATGAAACAAGAAGAACAAGTGGGTTAAGCGTTACTGTTTACATGTTTGAATTTTTCTTCAGCTCTAAATAGCAAGCAGTACAACAAATAAAGCTAGTGTGGCCCTGCAGAATATCTGCTAGGATGCAGCCTGCCAACCTGACTCCAGCTTTTCGTGGCAGAACAGTGATACAGAAACATCTTTAAAAGGGGAATATTTTACTCCTGCATTTCCAGAGAAAGAATAAAGTTAAGGGGAATGGTCAATGCCCTCTAGTGGTAAACGATCAGCCAGAGCTTTCTGCACATCCCTTCACAGAACAACAACAACAACAACAAAACAACCTGACCCCAGCTTTTTGTGGCAAAACAGAGGCGTTTTCACGGTGATACAGAAACATCTTTAAAAGGGGACTATTTTACTCCTGCATTTCCAGAGAAAGAATAAAGTTAAGGGGAATGGTCAATGCCCTCTAGTGGTAAACGATCAGCCAGAGCTTTCTGCACATCCCTTCACAGAACAACAACAACAAAATCGGTGCTTGGAAAGATGGAAGAGCCTTAATGGCCTGGGTGCTCAAAAGGAAAACCTCAGAATCAATCATTCAGCCCTACACAGAGCCAGCAAGATGCTTCTATGGGAGACTAAGATCCCGAATTCCCAGGTAAACCCCAGCTACAGCAATATGCTGATATTAAATCAGGGGCTGTAAAGCCTCTGTTTTGAACCAGAAACCAAAGCGTAAATAGTGAAGACTCTGAAGCAAAGCTGAGACTCTAAGACCCCTTCAAAGCTGAAAGTAGCATGCGAGGCCAAGTGATTTTCTGACTCTGAAAGGATAATGAAGCAAAGGTTTGTAACAACAATTCAAATGACTTTTGAATCAAAATTAAAATCAAACGGGGAAAAAAAATTTTAACAAGTAGGAAAAATCAAAATGAGGAAAAATATTTTGGGATGATTTCCAACATCAATTTAAAACCCCAAGGTTTTCATATTGCCTGGAGCTTTTAGAAGAACCACTACAGAAGATGAGGATTTACAAAACAAGCTCCACAACAGACCTCCTTTTCCACTTGGCTAAAAATAATTCACTTTTTAAGGTGACAGCAAGAACTTTCAATAATCAAAAGCTGATTAGAGAAACTGTCCCAGATATGCAATCAGAAGACTACTTTGGAGACCGGAGAGATTTTCGTAATGGCATTAATCCAGCGCTGTCTCATTAGCAAGGCAATGGAGAGGCTGTGGGAGCCTTTTGTTAATGCATTTTAGAGAAGTTATTAATTAGCTCAGGCTGCACTTTCCTGAATTTGTGCTTCTGTTTCTGCCACCTGCACTGCTGAAGTGATGGCCTTTTTAATGGCTTTGAATTTCGGCTCATGCAGCCATCAGCATATTGAGAGCTGGAAAACCGAATGGCACGGAGCACCGGCTCTTCCCTGCATCAATTGTTCCCATTTAGCAGAGCAAAATAGCGGCTGTTACAGTAAGATGGGTCTCATATCAATAACTCGAGCTGAAAAGGGCGCTACCAATTTCAATGTAATCAGTTTGAAAATTGCTGTCATGTACAATGCAGCTTTGAGCGAAACAAGACAATTTCGTGGCTTAACTACTACCTTTTCTAACCCCTGCACGTCAAACGAAGAAGAAAAGCAGAGCTTTTACTGACGTTGGGCTCCTTTCTATTGATTTGTGTTGGGAGGGGTGTCCTTTGTAAGGCTAACAGAGAAAAACATCAATCAAAAGTGATTTTCAAGTTGAGGAAACTACTTAAATTAAAAAAAAACAACCTTTCGAAGCCATTCTCAACAGCAACAACCTGTTCCTGGCAGTCCAACAAATATTTACCTTCACCATTTAATGCCTTGGTCACAGATACACCAAAGAGATCGAGCTGGCAGAAAATACTCTCTACTCATTGCTCCATCTTTGATAAATTCCTTTGGTTTGCTAGACTTTGATGGAAACAGTTGAATTTCTTCAGTGATGTAATCTAGGGCACTCAGCCACACTTAGTTTGTGTGCATGAACACAAATCTCTCTCTGATGCAAGAAAACAGCCACACCAACCTCACTGGGGTTTAAGTTCACTACTTAAACATCTCACCCACAGAATCCCAGACCCCCAGACCGTTAGGGATTGGAAGGGACCTC